CCCTGAGACCCACCATAACCAACAGAACCATCCCCAAACTTTGAGCGTTTAACCAAGCTGGAGCCTGTACACAACTATCTTCACCTTATCCTGACGGATGCGCTGAATCCACTTTTAACATCACGCTAACAGATGTACCCACCCGGGGGGAAGGAAAGCTTCGAAGCGGGAGGCGGAGCAGGCTCTGGGCAGGCGTGCAGCATGCATGTGAGCGTAGTTATTTCCTGAAAGACCTGTGCACATGAGACTGAGTCCGCAACCCGCTGCAAGCTACAGCTGGTGCCGAAATACGCCATAACTCAGCAAACACGGCCTCCGCCGTGCCCAAAAAAAAGTTGCATGGCAAGCAGCATCAGGCTTCCAACCGACCTTCCTGAATGGCCGGTTTCGGAAACCACTAGGCCACCAAAATTCCTCCTTCGGTGTGGTCTAGCACCGGATCATTTTTGGGTCTCCCCTCCCCACATCCCTACAAATCATAGCTGAGTTCAAGACGAAAGCTTGGGAAGGCTTTCATGATAAACAAATGGGCTGAGCTGCGGCTCGGATGGCGTCCATTGCCCTTGCCACAGGCGGTTGCTGCGACTTACCTACGTGAGTACGAGAGCATGAATTCATCTGGTGATCGTCCATCTCTCAAGCGCAGAATCCGGGTGGAACAAAGCCAGAATCACCCACGATGTCCCATGAGCATGTCCCGTGCCGGAGGAGAAAGATTAGCTGAGGTGCCCTGCAGCAGCTCTACGTGTTGCCCACTTGCACGACTTGCGACGTCACCCGTCATAGCTGCATCGATCTTGAGAGCGACTCGAAGTCTCCGCATCTTCACTTGCTAAGTTCCACGAGTCTTCTGCAGCCATTGAGCGTGATCATCTGCAACGTTCTGCGGTCTCAAGCGGCGGCTTACCATCGAAGTCTAGATCCCGAAGCCAGGAGCTGCATGCAGGAAAAAGAGGGGAGCCGCACTGAAGTTGGCCGTCCTCCCGGCACAACCGGGTGACCGCAAGCAGGGTTGCACGCTTATTCTGATGACACTTGGCACAGAAAACCCACGAGGCGATCGCATGATCATACACGACGCAGAACAAGGAGGGGTGCGAGATGTGCGAGGTAAGAAATGCGATATGCTGTCTTTGCCGTGATAACTTGTGTTGGTGCGGCAAAAGCTATTGATAAACATGAGACTTGCTGCAGTAGTAACAGTCTGGCTACAGTGAGTGAGATTGAGATGCACGAACGAGGACTCTGGACCAGCGGACAAGCTCATGTTGGGCTCTTTGACACAACCGTAACACGTGGACCTGCAGCACTCCCGGCATCTAATTTTGGAAGCTTGGATCAGCCATCGAAATGAAGTCTGATGTGGCTCAAGCCTACAGGGCCTCCTGGTGTGGATGATAACATCTTCCAGAGAACTTGTAGCAAGCAATGGCTTTCCACAAGAGGATGCTACCCTGGAAACTGGACTTTAAAAAAGACCGTGCTTGGCATCACCTCCCTTGACTCCTGAACAGGCTTACAGTGTCTTACTATGTCTATGAGGTGAGCCTTCCTTGCATGCGCTATTGGCTGGAGGTGTGATACGATCTGCGCTAGGGCATCGCACCGATCGCACGTTAAAACAAATCGCAAATGAGATGATAAGTAACATGTAGATTGTACATAGCATGGATTCTGGATGGATTCTGAACACCAGCGAGTAGGATAATAGTCTAGTCACTATCTTACGAGGCTGGTTCGTCTTTGCTTGCAGCTTTGCTGACAGCGTCAACCATTCCTCTTGTAAAGGTTCCTGTGCCACGGATGACCTTGGCAGCATGCAGCTGCAAAAGGAAACATGCTCATGCAATACAGCGCAGGCCTTCCCAACGCTGTCGTTTCGCTTGCTCAAGGCTATGCCAACAATAGCACCCAGCAGCAAACCTGATGAGGCATGTAATTAAAGCGTTGAGCTGACATCTTCAGTGTCTGGTGCGGAAGCCAATCTTGACACAAAGGACCTGTGGGTCCACCAGCCAGCAGCCCCAAGAAACCGCCACCAATTAGGCCAAGCTCTCCACTGACCTGAGCCAACTTCGCCACATGCTGCACATGCTGCGCTTAAGCTCTCATGTACAAATCGCCAATTCTGATGCGGACTGGGCGGACTGGCCTGGTCACGCTTAGCTTCTGCCTTTTTCTGCTGCTCCTTTACTAGCGCCCGGCTGCAAAGAGAGCCTGCAAGGACATATGCGTCCTCCATGGTCTTCACTCGCTTTTCCTCTTCAGCTGCCTGCCACAAGCGCATGCTCCTCAACACGCCGCGCACACGTAGTACGTGGATGGGGGCAGGCAAGGCTAAGATTTGCAATTTGCAGCGTGATTTTGTGCAAAGATCAATCAACTTGAAGTTGATAGTTTAGAAAAAGCTGACTCAGAACAGTTCTTGGGAGTCTTGGCTTCGAGAGAGCAAGGCAAAGGCCTGCTGCTTCAGCCGCTCAATGCGTTCTTTTTGGAACTCGATGTTATCGCCTGAGTGTCCGATCAGCTTGGCCACAGTCGCGCGGCAGCCATTCCACCTACCTTAAGCATCACACGTAGGTTGTTGGCAGCGTTGGTCAGCAATGTGGTCTCGTCCAGGTCCTTGTCCTTCAGAAACGGACTCGCCTCCAGAGTAAATTAATGTACACGTGTTCTCAAGTCCTCACCGGTGATAATGGCGAGAGCACGGACAACTTTCTGAAAATTATCCTGCACGGAAGACATCCAAGGCAAAGCGGCGTTTATGTCTTTACACCGGCCGTGGCTTCTGAAGATGAATCCACATCAGGGTGATACCTCACATGACTGTGCGCAAGCAAAAAGTCAAAGTTTTTGTAGGAAGAGAAAGCGCCGGGCTTCGCTGCCAGCTTTCTGTAGGCTTTCCGGGCCTGGAAACACGTAGTAAGTCAGTGCAAAAAATGCAGTTAGCCCTAGCTCTCCTCGTCAACTCCGGCATCCGGAGAAATTTGCAGAACCTCAGCACGGTGGCACACAGTGGCATAGTGTTGCGCGCAGGGAGTTCCATTCCTACTGTTAGGAATAATGTTGAGCTGTCAAGTGCTGCCACATTGACACCGCGGTGGCCAATATCATCTCACGTGACTCTGAGATCATGGATTCTTGAGGGCTGCTTGGTGAAGTGCCTTGCACTTCGTAATGAAAGTCTTCACTCAAAGCATCCTTCAGTCCTTCAGCTGAATGCGGATGCGGCAACTGCTAGTACTAGCTTAGGAGTTCTACGCACAACATCTGCAAGACTGACATACCAAGTGCCAGGCAGTCCATGGGTCGAAAGTGTCGCTGATGGCGGCATGGAGCTGCACCTCCCGCGGAACCACACATGATGAAGTGATTTCACAGCTGATCCATCCTCCTTGAAGGCAGATACATCTTCATCCCTCACGACCAGCGAGAATCCATGGCCTGTGAGGCTTCCCTGTCAGCCTTGCAATCAACCACGGCTTCCATCAGGGGCTGAGTGGCCATGGAGTGTTTTGCAAAAAGCGCTCACATGATGTAGGTGAGCGGCGGCACTCCTCCGAGTGAATCCGGTTGTGAAGGCACCTGGAGTGTGTCCCTGCAAAAACATGCCATGTCTGGTGACAGCTTGAGGCCATCGATGAAACTAAGATAAAACAGGTAAAAGCTTGCAAAACGTGACCCTGCGGATCGGAACTTGGCCAAACCCGTCAGCTTGCTGGTGCCCATCAAGGTTGCTTGCAGGGCATACCTGAAAAAACAGGTAACCCCTAATCACAAGAGATTTCTTCTGCGCAGGGTCCGACGGAATGTATCTCGCCGTATGCAAACGAGACCGTTGCCAATGATGCTGCACTCCTTGTCATTCACCCTCCCTCAAAATCCCTCAAACCTCCAATGTTCCTCGCTAGGCTTTAGAATTTTTAGAATGCTTTGAAAGCACACGGTCCAGGGGTTGGAGTAAGGAGTGTGGTCAGGAAACAAACAGTTTGAGTCACTTGTGAACCACGTCTTGGCCACAAATTAAATGGCAACTGAGTGCCGCAGCAGAGCACAGGGCGGTCAAACCAATGTGAGCGGTAAAACGAATTACTTGCGCCGTTGAAACTCAATCACTCTCAACTGTAACAGAAGACACTTGCCCAAATCAGTTGTGACCAAGTCATCCCTGGATGCCTGCTGATGTGCCTTTCCCGGGGCATGCTACGTCACTCGCGACGAAAAACACAAGTGCTACGTCACTTGCGGCTGAGACAACCGTGTTTGGGATTTAGGGGTTGCGGAAGTTCAACACTGCCTTATGGTGCAGGCTTTATGAGTTAGGAGTTTTTGCAGTTGCAGGGCTTGCGCTTCCTTAGGGTTGAGGGGTGTTTAGCGTTTGGGGTTCTTTAGAGGTTAGGGTTAGGCTTTCGGAAGGTACATGTTTCAATTTGCCCATCTGAGAAGAGCCCGGGTTCACGAAAAAGATGCAACTGATTAGATACCGACAACTGTCACAAGCGGCAAAAAGAAACAAGTCACAGGCGATAAAACACAACTTGCAAGCGATTGTAGCTCCAACCGCAATGCAGGCCCTGCGCAACATGCTCATCTTCGGCAGAAGGAAATCCTTATATATACTAGTAATATTTTTCAATGATGCATCCGCTGCTTGAAAAATAGCGGTTTCTTCCCACGCTTCGCTTCCCTGCCCACATGCTGTTTTGATACCGTGCCTCCTGACATCTGCAGATCCCTTTCTTCAGCAATAAGGCCCCCGGCAACTCTGTTGCGCTCTGTCTTTCAATTGTACATCTCATACTTGAAGCTTCACAGCATGAGTGTTTGGCAAATACTCATGTATATTAAGTCTAGTATTTGCGATTGTCTCATTGCCTACACTTCTCAAGGCCTCCACATGATCCGCATGCCCAGACGGTGACAAGGGCCAGGCCGACCTGGCAGACGTTTTGTACTTCGCAGCCTGGGAGCTGAATCCAACCATGCACAGGCTGCCGGTAGCAATCGCCGCAGTCTCTGCTGCGCACCTTTTTCAGGAACAGACGTCAACAAGTCATTTTATTATGATAGCACACACACACACACCTGCAGGATCACTGCAAAGGCTTCCAGGTCTGCTCGACCACCGCATGCCTCAGCTTTGTCTCGATGAGATTTGAGGTCTGCACTCACTAACGTGCCTCCTGTTTGAAGCAAGAGCCGTGTAAGCACGGCCAACGCTTCAGAATGTGTGGTCTCTGTCTTCAAGTGTGTAGAAGGGAGCATTACTGATTACATGTGGGTACCGCGTGATGCAGACGAATTTGTCTTCCACATGCGCTTGGTCACCCCCATGAAGCTTTGCGACAGGCATTCCCGTTGCGACCTTGAACTTTGCGTGGGTGTACTTGAGCCGATAACAGCTGTACTCCACGTGTCAATGGGATGATTGTATGCGACCATTATTTCTGTCTCTCCAGACGCGCTGCCCAATTGAGACTGGCAGTCCGACATGCCAGGTTACTCTGCACTAAGGTCATCAAGATTTTGCCCACGTGCATCAGAAGCTGTCTGTGGCAGCTGCTCATTCGTGATTGGTCTGGGCCATTTAGATGTCAAGGGGGCGCGGTCGTTAGCCTCTATCCGTATCTCAAGGTACTCTACACCCACGGCTTGCAATTCTGTTTTACTGCAGGGGGTTCCTTTAATCTCGGAGCAGCCGCACCCTGCTCGCCTCTCAGAGCCTTTCTGAAAGGGCTATGGCTATGAAATTGGTGCGAGGCAACTGCTGTAGATCTGCCGATGCTCGAGGTCTGGAGCATTTTGATTTAAGGACCCGTGGTGAGGAATGTGCTCCCATCCGCCTTCACTCCCTCACCAGACCTCCCTTTTCTTGGTCACGCCATCATACGGTGCAAAAAAATGATTTGGAAACCAAAGCCCCTGATTCGAGAACTAAAAGCCCGAGAAATCTTACCCTCCTGGTGAGTCCTAATCCCTAGGCCCTAAACCCTTATCACAAAATGGAACAGCACTTTGAACTTCTGTAAGGCCCTAGCTGTTGGAGGACACCCCGGGAAATCTTACCCTCTCGTGAGTCCTAGTCCCTAGACCCGACTCCCTAAACCCTTATCAAAAAAGCAGACTGGTCGGTGTAGATTGAGATCAATGACATTACGCCCCCCCAACCCCAAAGCCCGACGCCGAGATGTGACATGAAGCGAGATTATGCCCCTCCCCACCCCCCAACCCAAAGCCCGACCCCCATGGCTGGGGTGAATTTAGCTTTAGCTGAAGCGGTGATTTAATTGTTGAAGTGGTGATTTTAGTTTCTGAGTCGCAGATTTCAGTTTCCGAATCGGAGATATTTAGTTTCCCATCTGGGTTTGTTCCCCTTGTCCTTATCGAGCCCAATCACATTCTTTTCTGACAGATCTGACAGGTTTGACTTCCGAAATGTCCATCTCAGATCCCAAACCCCACTCGTCCTCCCCCGCCGTCCCCCGCCTGCTCCCCTCCCCGCCTCTTCCCCTGCAACTCTCTCTAATCCGCAACAGTTACCTCCACGCACTTGCTCCATGCCGCCATATCCCACAATCCGTTCCGTTCAGGTGCATTTTCCTGCTTGCGGGTAACTAGCACGTTGGGCACATCCAGCACCTGCATCACCCGACATCGGTGACTGCTGATGTGCCAACTTCTTGGGTTGTTTTGGTCTGGCGCTTCTAGGGTTTTAAACAAAAAAGTCAAATCAAGCCAGTGGCTATCAGCAAGGATGCAAGCGTTCGCAAACTAGGGAGAGTCCCCCTCAACCCATCTACCAACCAGGGTGTCTTGGCATGGCCGTCAAAGAGCTGAAAGATATCTCTCCGAGAACCTTGAACCAGACACAAGAATGCCAGCCAAAATGATGTTCACATATCCTTCCCGCAACATGCGGCGACTTGACACAGGAGTCGACAAGGTGAAATAAAAATCATGGACCGACGAAGATTTTGGTCGCATTGCCAGTCGGACAACAGCCCACACATCATTGCAGGCTGCTACGGCAAGATGATGCATGTGAAACCGAATTCGGTCATTCCACTGTCGTGCCAGATTTGTACCTGAATTGCAAGACAATCGTTTGCACAGCTCTCGTCGTGCTTGCGAATGCTGAGAAGGGGACTGGGAGCAGCAGCCTAGGAGCATTCCAAAAGCCTCACTCCAAGCACAGAAGCACTCCTTATCAACTCTTTGTCTTTGTGGAAAGGCGCCCGAGGCATCCAAGAAGTCACAAGTTTTCTGCGCGTCATCGGTCAAACACAAGCGCTCAGCAGTTTGTTGGGGCATCGACCGTTTTTTGGCATGGTGGGCCATTGGTATCAGAAGGATTGCAAATGGAAAGTTCACAGTGACCAAAGTCAGGGGATTACAGCGTCTCTATGCAGCTTTGCACAGCCTCTCTGCTTGGCTGTCACATGGCAGTGTGGGTGAAGCTATGATTTGGCGCGGAGCAAGCCTTGCTTGTTTGAGATAGGCATGTCGAGCTCAACTATCAGGAACATATGCAAAACCTCCTCTATGCTAGTAGGCCTCGCTGTGCTTGCATTGCCCGTGCTGCCCTGGTATCACTTGAGCACCTGTTTTGGCTCGTGTGTTCCTGTCCGTGGGTGTAGTTTTGCGTCACAGGTTGTCCAACATTGTCCAATAGTCCTTCATCTAGAATAGGGCAGGTTGCGCTGTGCTTTCGCAGAGCTTGCACGCGAGCGCAGTTTGGCTCAAACTGGTTTTCTTGCAGCTAACAGTTTTAAGATGACTTACATTTTTACGTTACTGTGAAGCACAAATGGCCAGGCGAACGTTGTCGCATCGCTGCTCAAGACATTCAAGGGGCCATGATGGGCTAGAGGCTGGCCACAGCTACGCGCGCTTGCGCGAAGCTTACATGAAGCTTCTGCCAATTCGCGCAGAATTTTGAATTTTCGCTGTTGACAGCATGGCTTGCGTTGAGCCATAGTTAGGTAGAAACTCGCCGTGCTTGCGCGGAGCTTGCGCGCTGATATATTCAGTTTTCGTCTGTATAAATGACCAACAATGGTTTTTGGACAACCCCCGCTTGTCAACTGTGAGGGCTGCTGGAGTTGAGCGACATGCAGATCCGTATTTGGAGGGGTCTGGGTCGCGCAGAGTGCATTGCAACATTACAGGCTTTGGGTGTCCCGCCTTCTCTTGTTGCCCCTTTCCCTTCCAACCTCAGTTATGAACATCATTTTGTGTAGGAACACAACGGCTGCGTGAAGCGTTGCTTGGATCGCAGGTCTGCAAGTCCAGCGAGTTGCATGGCTCGAAGGTTCCAGACAGTACTGCGAAACT